CAGGATGGAGTTGCAGGCTCCTGGCTTTGGCTTAGATCAGCCCCAGGTGTTGTGGGCATTTGGGGAATGAACCAGCAGGTGGAAGTGTGTCCTTCCTCCCCGACCCTGGGTGTTTGTGTGTATGTGTGTGTCTCCCTCTCCTTCTGTTGCTCTGCCTTTCAAATAAATGAATAAATATGCCTTTTTATTAATTCATTTATTTATTTGAAAGGCAGAGTTACAGAGAGGCAGAGGCAGAGGCAGAGGCAGATAGAGAGGTCTTCTATCCACTGGTTCATTCCCCAAATGGCCGCAACAGCCAGAGCCAGACCGATCTGTGGCCAGGAGCCAGGGGTTTCATCCAGGTCTCCAATGTGGGTGCAGGAGCCCAGGCAATTGAGCATCTTCTACTGCTTTCCCAGGCCATAGCAGAGAGCTGGATAGGAAGTGGAGCAGCTGGGACTCAAACCGGTGCCCATATGGGATGCCGGCATTGCAGGCGGCGGCTTTACCCACCAGAACCAAAACCAAACCAAACCAAAACAAAAAATGGGGTGGGGGATAGTATACAGTAGCCCAAATCTTCAAAAGCTCTCGGTAAGAATCTTCTGTAACTCTACGAGCACTCCAGGCCCAAGCCTCTAGCATGCCCCTGAACACTGACGGCTGCTAGAGAGATAGTGATTGAGGAATGTGTGCTGTCTTCTCAGATATGTAGGCTAGAGGGCTGGGAAAAGACAGCTTCCATCTTCCCCGTGGAGTTCTATCAGTGTGAAGGGATGCCCTCAAGGTATTCAGGAACTCCCAGTACTTTTCAGCGATTGGTAGGAAGAGTACAGCCATGTGCCCGTGCTGCATAATGACATTTTCAGTCAACGAAGACTGCATGTATGATGGTGGTTCCCTAAGTTTGTAATAGAGCTGGAAAATTCCTATTGCCTAGTGATGTTGTCGCTGTCCTAACATTGTGGGGTAACGCATTACATGTGTGTTTAAATTACAAATACTACATAGTACTTGATAATAAATGACTGTTATTAGTTTATGTATTCACTATACTATATTTTTATTTATTATTTTACAGTGTACTCCTTCTACTTATAAAAAAGTTTACAGTAAAAGTCTGCAGAATTAACCAGCAGCTGTCTCATACATCTCATGTATACTGCATCTCTATCTTTCTCTTTTAAGTTTTATTTTATTATTTTTATTTGAAAGGCATAGCAAGGAAGAGAAAGAGAGAGAGAGAGAGAGAGAGAGCGAACTTCTATTCACTGGGTCCCTGCCCAAATGCCTGCCACAGCCTGAGCAGGGTCAGGCTGAAGCCAGGTCCAGGGTTTCCCACGTGGGTGGCAAGGGCCCAAGTACTTGAGTCGCACCTGCTGCTTCCCAGACGGGCACATTGGAAGCGATCAGAAGCGAATGGGGGGGCCAGTGCTGTGGCTCTGGCGTAGCTGGCAAACCCGCCTCTTGCAGTGCCGAGATCCCATATGGGCGCCAGTTTGAGTCCTGGCTACTCCACTTCAGATCCAGCTCTCTGCTATGGCCCGGAAAAGCAGTAGAAGATGGCCCAAGTCCTTGGGTTCCTGCATTCACGTGGGAGACCCAGAGGAAATTCCTGGCTCCTGGCTTTGGATTGGCCCAGCTCAGGCCATTGCGGCCAACTGGGGAGTGAACCAGCAGATGGAAGACCTGTCTTTGTCTCTGCCTCTCTGTAACTCTACTTTTCAAGCAAATAAATAAATCTTTTTTTTTTTTTTTTTTTTGACAGGCAGAGTGGACAGTGAGAGAGAGAGACAGAGAGAAAGGTCTTCCTTTTCCATTGGTTCACCCCCCCAATGGCCGCTGCAGCCATCCTCCACTGCACTCCCGGGCCACAGCAGAGAGCTGGCCTGGAAGAGGAGGGACAGAATCCGGCGCCCCGACCGGGACTAGAACCAGGTGTGCTGGCGTGGCTCACTTGGCTAATCCTCCCCCTGCGGCGCCGGCATAAATAAATCTTAAAAAAAAAAAAAAAAGAAGAAGAAGAAGCGGATGGGGGACTCAAACCCAGGCACTCCAATTTGAGATGCAGGCATCCCTACTGCATCAAATGCTTGGCCCAATACTGCATAAAGAGGCTACATCTAGGAACTGAGCCACAGTAACTAGGTTCATGTAAGCACACCCTGTGATGTTCACACAGCTACGATAAAATAGTTTCTGGGTTTCTTAGAGCCTGTTCCCGTGGTTAAGCAAAGCATGGCTGTAATTGGAGACAGAATTACCTGGAGGCTTAGTTTTAAATTCAGAAACAGCAAAGTTTCCAAAAAACATGCATTCTGGACATAACGAAATGCCACTTAAAAGATCATGTAGGCCGGCGCCGCGGCTCACTAGGCTAGTCCTCTGCCTGCGGTGCCGGCACACCGGTTCTAGTCCCGGTTGGGGCGCCGGATTCTGTCCCGGTTGCCCCTCTTCCAGGCCAGCTCTCTGCTGTGGCCAGGGAGTGCAGTGGAGGGTGGCCCAAGTGCTTGGGCCCTGCACCCCATGGGAGACCAGGAAAAAGCACCTGGCTCCTGGCTCCTGCCATCAGATCAGCGCAGTGCGCCGGCCATTGGAGGGTGAACCAACGGCAAAGGAAGACCTTTCTCCCTGTCTCTCTCTCACACTGTCCACTCTGCCTGTCAAAAAAAAAAAAAAAAAAAAAAAAAAAAAAAAAAAGAAAAGAAAAGAAAGGGGGAGAGAGAGAGAGAGAGAGAGAGAGAGAGAAAGAATATTCCATCTGCTGATTCACTCCTCAAAAGCCCACAACAACCAGGGCTGGGATAGGCTGAAGCTCAGAGCCCAGAGCTCATTCCAAATCTCCTCACAGTGGCGGAGACCCAAGGTCTTGAGCCATTCATTACCTGCTGCCTCCCTTAACAGGGAGCTTAATTGGAAGTACAGGAATCAGGACTCGAACCAGGCACTGCAATATGGGATATAGGTGTCCTAAGCAGCAACTTAACCTGTGAGCCAAACCCCAACCCTGAAATTCAGCACAGTTAGATGTCTAGAAATGATGTATGAAAATTTAAATGTTCAAAATTTGAACGTGGGCAATTGTTATTTCATGGTTTAAATCTTGTCGTTTTGGGGTGGGTGTTTGGCTTATCATGTAAGTCGCTGGTTGGGATGCCCATATTCCATATCTGACTGCCTGGATTCCATACTCGCCTGCGGCTGCTGACTCCAGCTTCCAGCTAATGGAGGCTCTGGGAGGCAGCAGGTGATGGCCCAAAGTAAGCGGGTTCCTGCCTCCCACTTCGGAGACCTAGACTGAGTTCCCAGCTCTGGGGTGTGGCCTCCCAGCCTTCGCAGGCTTTTTGTTGCAGAGTAAACCAGCAGATGGGAGCTTTCTGTCTCTCTGCTTTTGGAATAAATAAATAAATAAATTTGTTGTTTTATGTAAATCCTGTACTAATTCATCAAGAAATAATAGATGCAAATATAGCAAGCAAGGATTTTAAAATAATGAACATAGATATGTTAAAGGATCTTTTGGAAAAGATAGAAAAATTTGTGAACAATTTGGGAATTTCAGTGGCTTTTAACTTTTTAAACTTGTTTTATAGTTTTAATCGTTAAAGTGAAGCCTATTTCCAAAAGATTAAGGTGATCCTCTGTTTTTCCCACGAAGTAGTCAGTAGAAGTAGAACAGTACACCATGTGCTAGCTTGGCCTCTTGGGAAACATAGCATGTACAAGTTTGCTAGAAAGAGATAATGATCACTTATAGCCATATATCTCACGGAAAGTTCACAGGGATATTAATCTAGAGAGAAAATGGCGACGACGGGGGCAGTAAGAGGTTGGGAGAAGTACCTTAGTTTAGGATCAGAAACGGGCAATGTATGCCCTAATTGAAGGTTGTAGAACCACTGTCCTCCAACTGTGTATTTTTTTTATCATGTACTCTTTTCCCACAGCGATTTCATAACAATAAATTTACAAAGCAGTCCTCTAGTGTAGTTTTATGTCCTTAAAAATATTTTAAAAAGCATTAGCTAGAATTGTACACATAACTTGTTTAAAACGGAAACCAAAATGCACTGCCCTCTGAATGTTCATTCTTGCTTATTTTGACGCAAATAGAACAGCTTTTTTAGATCCAGAGTTTCTCCGTGTGGTGCAGACATGCCATTTTCTATGAATTTTCCCACCTCTGGGAAATTTATTTCTGAAACGTGTTAAGTGTGCAATAAGCCAAGTGGAATCGTGACGCAATAACCCATTGCAAGTTGCCTTGCACAAATGATGTCATTCGGCACAGACCTGCTCACTTTTATAACAAGTAGGTCTGGGAAAGCTCCCTCCATGATGTCTCCCAATCCCCCTTCCTTATCATGTGCACGATGCAAAAAGCCATTTCCCGAGCCTCCGGAACCCCCTAACTTGTGGACGGTGGGTGCACCGCAGTGGTTGGAGGCCCATCACTGGTGCAGGCGGAGATGGACTATTGGGAGCCGGTGAGGAGAAGCTAGCGTCCCCAGCCCCGACGGCGGGGCCGCTGAGGAACCTGCGTCGGGTGGAGCCCGCAGCACCGGACTTCTTTTCCTCGGCGGGGTCCCGCTGGCGCACCAGGCGGGACGCGGGGCGCCGCGGGCGCGGGACAGCCCTCCCCCCACCGTGTTCCCACACCCGCTCCCGCTCCCGTGGCGCCGGAAGTGACGCGCACTAGGCTGAAAGATGGCGGCATTGGCGCTCGACCAGGGGGAAGGTAAACACCCGCCAGGCTGCGCGCTGGCCCCCTCGGGGCGCCAGCAGGGGCCGAGGGGGCCTCCTGGGCCGGCTCTCCACCCCCTGGCTTCCCACCTCCCGCCCTCTCCCCCAGCGTGGCGGGCTAGCGCGTCCCTACGACGGCGCGCGGGGCCCCCTGCCGCCCAGCCCCGCCTCCCTGGGCGGGCCCCGGGCGGCTCCCGCGGCCCGCAGGGGGCGCGAGGCCCGGAGCGGCCCCTGGCTCGTGGCCCCACAAGCTCCGCCCATTGCCCGCCCCTTTCCCGCCTTCCTCCACCCCCGGCGTGGGTGATCCTGAGGCTCGGCGCGCTTCGGGGCAGAAGCTCTGGGACGCCGTCGTCGACGCTGCCACCGTTGGTGCTTCTGCAGCTGCTCACAGCCCCTTAGCCCTTTCCCCCGCCCGCGGCCCCTGGTCGGCCCTCCCGCTCAGCCCCGCCGGGTGCTGCGAGGCCCCCGGCTTTGGTAAGGCCACCTCCCGCCCCGACGCCGCGCCGCCTCGCGCCTAGCCCGACTGTCTGGACTCGCGACTCAGCGCTGTCTTCTTTCCCAGGACTGATTCCGAGGGGGCCGCAGGCGCGCAGACTCGCCCCCCGCCGGAGCGCTCCGGCCCGGCCCGCGAGCGGTCCCTTGTAGACGTTCGAGGAGCCTGCCGAGTGCCGTCCCGGCGCCCGCCCACCGATTGGCCCGTCGGCCCGCTTCTTCCTGATGCAGACTGCCGTCCACTAGAGGTTGGACAGGACCCCCGAGGTGCGTAGCCGCCCCTGGCCGCCCGGCCTGCCGAGCCCGGGCTTCGCCTGCGGCCCCGAGCTAGGCACGGATTCCGTGGTCCTTTGCACAGACCTGAGTCAAACATTGGGTTGACGCCGGGACCTAATTTGTCTTTGAGTTTACTTCAATTGTTTGCAATCTAATTCTTTTTTTTTCAGAGAGAGAGAGAGGGAAAAAAAGGAAGAAGCATAATTCAGCCATTTTTTGCAGCACACAGCTGCAGGTACCATGATTATTTTTTCCCTAACCCGTTCCTTCCCTTTAAAAATTCTATTTATGCCTGAAATAGAACTATGCAAAATGCGAGGCGTATGAAACGTGGACTCGGAAGGTCTGGGTTCGACTGGGTGACTGAGAAAATCGCGAATCGAGCTTCGGTTTCTTATCTGTGAAATCTAGGCAGTAATATCCACATCACAGGGTAGTGAAGACTATATGAGGTCATATATGTGAAAACAGTCTATAGCTGTAAAGTGTAAAAATGCAAGGCCGGTTTTTAACCTTTACCAGAGTGGTTAATGTGCTAGTGCTAACTGTTGCTGCCTCTTTATTTCTGTATTATTAACAAGTATAAGCAAATAAGTATGGAATAGCAAAGCACTGCTGTGAACCGATAGATATGTAATAGATAGATATGTAATAGTCGTGTTGCTTGGCCTTCCTCCTACGAATTGCTAACTGCTTATTTAAATAACGGTATTCTTTAATTCAAATGTAGTGTTACCCTAGGGCTTTGCTTTTGACCTTTTCTAGGCTGCTTAGGCCCTCTTTTTTTTAAACTCAATATTTGTTTAACACCTTATATTTGTTTGTTCTCTAGTTTTCAAATTTGTTCTCCTTTGTTGATCTAAGTTGTAATTTAGGAAATGCTTTTAAGATATACATGCCCTAATTTGAATGCCTGTTTTTCATATCTAGGGAACAGGATGCCTGAATACCTCGAACTAATTCAAAAATTGTTTTTGAGGTGCTTATTAATCCATTCATGTTTCTGTAATTCTTAGTCGATGTAGACAGTTTCAACTTTTTGGCACTTAATGTAGTATTTGTGTAATGTAATTCTCGTTTTGGGTCCCAACACTCAGTAGGTGCTTCAAGTCAAAGTTTAGCAGTGGGAAAAGGTGTTAATCTGCATTCTGTTACGGATGAATTGGGGGAAAGAATAGCTTGGTAAATATTTGTGGTTTGAAATGGAGTTTATTTGCCAGAATTCATATGCGTAATGGATCAGTATGGAATCATTCTTACTTGGCACATCAAAAATGTATGGTTTGGCTTTAAAAAATGGTCCACAAAAAGTGAAATAGAAGCATTTTGGTGGGGGTATGTTGTTATTTTTAGCTCACATGGTTTTCTGAATAGTTAGATGTTGTATTAAATTTATAATCCCCTAGCCCAGTGCCAGTTGTCTTTCAGAGTATGCTTTGGTGTTTTTGTCAAAAGGCAGAGTTACTAGAAGGCGAACGGGATTACAGTTGTGAAAAAGAAGAGCCTACTTTTAAAAACTGGTTGCTTTTCGATGTTGGGTTTAGTGCTTGTCTGAAAGATAAAATTTTGGGAACTTCTGCTTTATTGGGAATTTCAAGGTTTGACCTCTCTGCCTTGATTTGGGTTTATCTGGGGCTAACATATTGGAACCAGGGCTGGCTTGGCATCATGCATGTGCAGAAGAACTTCATAGCCTGCATGTAAAGCTGGCATGGGCCAACATAAAAGTGAAGGGTGAAATTCATGCTCATAATTTAAATTTGTAGTTTGTCTTTCCTTGGAGTGGCATAGTATACAGCAAATAAAAACCCACCATGACAAGTCAAGAGAGACAGAAGAAAAAACGTTTATATATTAGTACCTCTTAACTTCCTCCCGCCGTGTATTTGAACCAGGGACCCCACAAATGATGTAGCTGGCACATTGTCAAGCTTGGTCTTTGCCCCTACAAATTTTTGAGAGTGAGTAATATTAACTATGAGGAGAATGAATCTTTAACCTTGAGGGGTGTGTGTGTGTGTGTGTGTGTGAACTGATTAGCATATATTTCCTCTGAATTGGAATGCTGTAGCTCTTGCGGGGTCTCTATCGGTGAAGCATTGTAGAGCAGTGGTTTATCGGGAGGGCTCTGAAGTCAGGCAGACAGCCTTGGGCAGGTTACTGACCCTCTGAGGTTTGATTTTTCTCATTTTTAAATCAGGGATGTTTAAAGAACTAGAGAATTGTGAGGATTCAGTTTGTTCATTCATCTGACAAGTATTTATTAAGCACTTAACGTATCAGGCACTCTTGTAGATGTTGGGGATACAACAGTGAATGGAACAGAACAAAACAAAAAAAAAATAGGAGCAAAAAATTAACTACGTACAATAGGTAGCCTGTGTCACCATTTAATCTACTACAAAGAAAAATATAGCAGAGAAGGAAGATGGGGCTTGACTGGTTGATGGAATGGGTGGAGTTTCACAGTTTTAAAAGAGGGTGATTAGGATGGTCTCCCTGAGGTGACACCCAGAGGAAAGAGCTGAGAGGGGAGTCCTGTGGATCTGGATCTGAAGCGATCTAGGTGGACAGAGCAGGCGGTTGAGGCCTCCAGGTGGGCGTGTGGCTGGTTTTCAAGGCACAGTGTCAACAAGGGGGAGAGTAATAGGAGATAATTATTATTGCCATTTTAGGAATCACTGGAAAGGCTCTCCTAGTTCATCTCTGCCATGGGTGTGTGTTGTATTGCTGTTGGCCCACAAGTGCAAGACTTTTTCAGAATGAGAAATTTTCACTTTGGAGTAAACTAGAAAAGGGCAGCTGTGTTCTCAGGTCTCCATAATGCATATCTGTGTGAATCATTGAAGCACATAAGAACAGATAGAAAAATTATCCTTTGTCTCTGATGAGATCTTTGAATTCAGTTAACGATTCTGCATCATGAACCTTACAGACTGACAGGAAATCTGTGTGTTAACATGGCGACCTCCCCAAAGATCTAGTGCAGTTGTATGATTCTTGTGGATAACTCAAGCGCAGCCATTACAGTATTGGAGGTGTCGTGTTAGAACGTAACTTAGAAGATTGGGGGTTTTATTCCCCAGTAGAGGCTTTTCCTAGAATTCTCTCTGGATCCAGCCTCTAAAGGCTAGGGAAGCTGTTTTCCATGACGTCACTCTTGGACTACTACTTGTAGAGAGGAATAAGCAGAGTAGCATTAAATTAAAGTTGTTTGATGAAAAATATCCTTGAAGTCGAGTGTTTTGCTTTCTTATAAGGTTTCTGGTAGTATAGGATGACTAAATGCTAAGCATACCTGAGGAGTGAAGTAATGCAGGTAATAGGTGCCAGTCTGGAGGCTGAGGACCCCAGCTTTCCCAATAGCTCAGTAAAATGCTCATTTGCAATTTGGTATGGAATTATAAAAATATTTGGATGACAAGAAAGAATTTCCAGTATTAAATAAAGTAACTTACGCAGCCTTTCCTCCCATATTAAACGGAGTTGTTTCTCAATTTGGGTAGTATATCTGGGGGGTATAATGACTGCAAATAGAGCTAAAAAAGTTGATCTGTTTCCAAAACTCCTTCGTTGTAGATGGGTACATGGAGAAGTTGGCCATTTTGAGATTGTTGCATTTAAAATTTTTACCTTTTACGTTATAGACATTATGCGAAATGTTGTGATTCAGAAATTAATTGCATTTTAATCAAAAGTAAGCCACACATTTACTTTTTAATATGCAAGTACAGCATTTTTAACGTAGGCATCAATTTTGGTGGGGCAACTGTGTGAGGATGTAGGTAGCATGGAACCCCATGTTTTTGTTGAGGACGTCATATATCCGCCTCTGCAAATCTAGCTTTTGTACTGAATAGCTTCGGGTTTTATATGAATTTTCAAGCAGATGTCAGAGGAATGTGAAAGTAATACATTTTTGCTTCTGGTATAAATATGAAGGTTAGTTATTTTTTGAAACATATTTAATTGCCTAGAATTTTGCTTTCAAATTAGAATGGCAGCCTTTTAACTGAAACGGAAGCATTTAATTTCTTTGCCTTTAATTTCCTGTCCAGTTTTACCCCCACCAGGCTTCTTTCTTTACTAGTCACTAGAGAGTTTGAACTGTTCAAAATTTCTGTGATATAAATAGCAATAATAGTCTTCCAGGGCAGAGGTAGGAAGAGGTTGGGTGTGTGTGTGTGTGTGTGCGCGCACACATGTGTATGTAATGTGTGAGTGACTTATCTCTTATCACACCTTCTATGGTATTCAGGCCTTTTTGTCTCAGGTCCTCTCTGTACTCTTCAGAATTACTGGGATTCCAAAGAAGTTTGTTTTTTGGGTTATATTGACTTATATTTACTGTAACAGAAATTGAAACTGCGAAATTTAACAGAATGCTTGTAATTGCTTTAAAAACATAACCTATTACATGGAAACCTAAAATCACTTTTTTTTTTAGTGAAAAATAACTTTCCCAAAATGGTGAAGCCCTTGGTGAGAAGAATGATACCGTTTTATATTTTTGCAAATCACTTTAATGTCTGGCTTACTGAACGGCAATGAGCTTCTCCATCAAGTCTGTAGCAGTGTCACACATCATATAGAAACCCATGGAAAACACAGAGAATAAAAGTGGAAAAGGCAAATAACTTCTTTTTATTATTATTTTGAAAATGATTTTGGCTTTGGGAAGTCCTTTTAGAGAACTTGGACCCCAGTTGTCCCTGGACCATACTTTGAGAATTGCTGTTGTAATCATTTTATGTGCAAAAATGTGAAGTTTTGTTTTTTTTCTTTAGTAGTGCCAAGTTTATGAAATAAGACATACTTTTTAGTATTTGTTTCCCTAGTAGTGTAAGTATGCCTTGTCATTTAGTCTAATTTAGGTTTGTTCCCTCTTTGAAAAAAGGAATTTAAAATTTTGAAGGACAAGTATAGAGTATATACATATTATATAGGTTTATAAATCATAATTTCCCTTAATCTTTTCTGTTTTGAAAAGGGAAAACACAATTTCTGTACATTGAACATTTTGTATGATAATAAATATTTTTTCTGGAAGCCTCTTAATGGATTTTTTTTCTAACCCTTGTTATAGAGTTCTTATTTGAGTTTTATGTTAATTTTGCAGTTCTTAAGTTTCTTTCTTTTTTTTTTTTTTTAAGATTTATTTATTTGCTTGAAACTCAAGAGTTACACAAAGTAGGAGAGGCAGAGAGAGAGCGAGCGAGCTAGCGAGGTCTTCCA